ATATGCTTAAAATAAGTTAAAAAATAGTATTCCAAATTTTAAAATTAAATACACTGCGTTTGTACAACCTCTGGTACCATACAACACTTGTAACACCTCTGTGCTGACAACTGATGCTTCAATAAACCTACACTGCTTCTAGTCTGGCAGAGGAATAGCAAGCTCCAAGTTGAGTAGAAATCGCATCAAAATTAAGGAAAATTAAACATTATATTGCCAGATCCCTTAAACACCACACAGGAAGAAAAACTTGTAGTACAAAAAAAAAATAATAATAATAATTGTTCATTGACAGATCTTGTTTGATTGATTCAGCCATAAGCTTATTTCATGACACATTTGGTTTGAGTTTTGCTGAAAGTTCACATACCAAATAATATGAGTGTACAAAACATGCAATAACACTTTCATGTGAAATATTTCCCCTCTCCATGGTCTCAAGAACTTAGCAGTGAACATTTCAATAATCAAGCAGAAAATAAAATAGCCAAATAGCCAACTGTAGTAGCATTTGTTAACATTTGTCAAAATTCACAAGACTTGGCAAGACAAATTCATTCAACTAAACACCACCCCCACCCCTCCAACACTCCCAACTTTTCCCACACAGTGCTGTGTTCATAATCACGGACACATACAGCTCATCCCCTATCACAATAAAACTCCAGTTCCCTGGTGATAATTACAGTGCCACAAGCTAATAAATTACACTGAGTGTTGAGTTTGTCATGGATGATGAAAGCTTAAATCCTGCTGTGAAATATCAACATGCCAACACCAGCTGAAGTCGCTTGAAACTCCAAAACATGACAACTTGAACAGAAAATTGCGGTAAGTAAGCAATTTCAAACCCTTCCATCTCAAAGGTGGTCACATGTCTTTAGAAGAACACACAAGCATTGGCATATACTATGTATGGCCGGTTCATAAGAAAGGTTTACAGTCAAGAACACAATAAAATTTGCATGTCAACACTGCATGTATTTTCTTCACCATTGGTGTCTTCAGTAAAACTCACTTTGCATCATGGGGTGTTGCTAAGAGAAGTATTCTGCACCTTTAAAAAAAAACAAAAAACAATGTAATCATTGAAGACAAAAATGTTTGATGCCACTGAAAACAAAATGTGGATGAGAGAAGAATCTTATTTAACTGATTCACTCCGGCAAGCCGACTCATCAGAATGGCAGCTGTTGTGACATGACCACCACAATCCATGAGCAGGCTTGAAGAATGTGTTATTTTTAGTGTTTGGTATTTTTGATTTAGTCAGAAGATGAGAAAAATCTGGTGACACAGAAAGTCATCCTATAGTTTTTCTCCAGTTTAGAGAGAGTTTCGAGTCGTTTTGAGCCTAGTGTTGGATTTTTTATCTTGTTTATTTTTTTTTGCAACGAATCAAAAATGGATGAACCAGGACAAAGCGGGTTGGGTAGAAATTGTTCTCAGAGACCACTAGTACTGCTCTGCCTTTTTTCTGATCACGTTCCCTGAGGGGCAGACATAGTAAATATATGAGTTTAAAACACCCCTATCAACACTATTACTATTTGTTTCTTCAAGAGGCAGGACCTCCGAATTAAACGTCCGTCTCTGTCAGGACTGAACCAAAATGGGTTGAGAGCCTTGAAAACTCCAAAAAACGACCCCTGAGTTCAAAAACTCCCAGTCTGGGATTCGAACCAGGGCCATCCGCTCCGTAGTCCAACATGATACTGAATAAGAGATAACGGAGCGCCCAGAGACAGATATGAAGCAGTATAGCACCATGTTTCATTGTTGCAAAAAAAGGTGAATTGCTATAGGTTTAACGCCCCTATCAACATTATTAAGTTATTTAACAAGCGGTTTATCATAACAATAAGAATGTTGAGAACAAAGAGACAAGATCTTTACATCAGTGCTCACCAAATTACCTTTCAGAACGAGTGGAAATGTACGCACCATCTCATAATTTAAGATCTCCAAATGACCATCAGCTCTGCATGCCTAGGTCCAGAACAATGTTGGGTGAAAGGGCCTTTTCCATCTGAGCCCCAAAACTTTGGAACAATTCAGATTTAGATGTTGGAATGTCTCTTTCAATTGATTAATTTAAATCAAAGTTGAAGACAATGTTTTTCAGGAAAGTATATATTTATAATGCTGGAACTCAATATCTGAACTATTTGTCAGGGGGTTTTTTTGTGTTTTTTTTTATGCATGCCGTAGTGGTTGAGCTTTAGAGCTTTTGTGAATGTGTGTGTGTGTGTGTGTTTTGTAAGCGCCACCAAGCCCTTTTTGTGGATTCTGGTGCGTCATAAATTTTAGGTTTTTTAAGAGGCAGGACCGCCAAATTTAACGTCCGTCTCCGACAGGACAGAACCAAAATGGGTTGAGAGCCTTGAAAACTCTACAAAACGACCCATGAGTTCAAGAATGCTCATTCTGGAATCCAAACCAGGGTCATCCACCCCATAGTCCCATAGCATAATACGAAATGAGGTAACGGAGTGCTGCCCTTCCAAAGCCAGTACCAAAAAAGTGGAAAACAACAATCCCAGAGTCTGAGCAAAATGCTGCACAGACACAGGGAAGACCAAGAACAACCAATGCTGTTGAGGAGGCTCGCAGGAGCTAAACATCTTATTCACTCCATCTGAAAGGACAGGAACTGTGTGCACTGCAGTAGTGGCAACAACAGTAAGAGATCGTGTAACGTTTGCGAAGGTAGATCTGCCCAGCCACATCTGTGCCTCAAGGACAGTTTCGGGCACTACTATGCGGTAGAATTTGTATAAAGAATTATCGGGTAATGTATCATATTGATTTCATTCGTTTGTGAATTTCAAATATTGTATATATATATATATTGTGTGAACGGTAGTGTTCTCATCTGGTCTTTTTTAGACTCTTTACTTTATACTTTTAAAAAAGTTTTGGCTGAAGGTCAGGGATTCCACGACTCATTTCCAACATCAACATTGGACATGTAGTTGTAAAACCCTGTACAGCCTGTGTGTGTTTTGTGAACTGATTCAAGTTATGCTTTACCTGATTCTGAATTGGATTATTTGACATCTTAATCTCTTTTCGACCAGTAAGCAGTGGTTTCCTGATCACCAGAGGTCAAATAAGTAATAAGTGAAAAATACTGATTGTAAATTTTGTCTTCTTGATCGTAATATACTTTTACATTGTTCGTTTCATACACTTCATCTGTCAAACCACTGTCATGTGCACCACTCAATTATCTTTCATTTGATGAATAGTTATAATGCATATTCTTTTACGGAAACTACTGAGCAATTGTATGAAACATGATGTAACCCTCCCCTCAAATTTAGAACCCAGAAAATAATTCTGCCCAGAGGCCAAAAAACTCCCGGAGTGAATCAGTTAAGATTCCACGACATGTTGCACCCAAACTTAAAGTGGTTAAAATACAACACCTTGACAAACCACCATGGTTGTGGGACTGACAGAAGTCAGCTAATATATACAGGCCTGCCAACTTTTGAAAATGCAAAATAGGGAAAATCAACGCTGCTCGCTGCACCTGTCACACTCAACTTACTCGTATTTATTTTTTTTATGTGTGTATATATATATATATATATATATATAGAGCATGTGTGGACGCACGGTTAAACTGGACATTTTAGTAACAAATTAGTTCTGGTATTGTCGATTTCGTTTTCTCAATTTTGCGCAAAAAATTGTAATAATATTATAGTATAAAGCGGCTCCGACATCCGGGGGAAGTCGGGAGCAGCGCATCTGATTTGGGAAATTCCCAACAAAATCGGAAAGGTTGGCAGCCCCATACATATCTAAAAATCATGAGAGACAGCTTCGGAAGATGAACATAAGAGGTGTCCTTCAACAGTAGTAACAAACAAGATGAATCATCTATTCCCAATAAACAACTGAGGTCGAAAATTTCCCTGAGAAATAAATGAGTGCATACAGAGTCGAGACACAAACTACACTGATTCAAACTGGTGAAAATAATCGATTGCCGAGCCCCCCGACCCCCACCCCCCATCCCAAATCTTTTTATTCCAAATATTTAAAGCAAATACAGTTGAGAAAGATTGAAACGCAAAAGATAAAGAACTCTTTAAAGAGGCTACAATTTTTTCCAACACATATGTATGCTTTTAGTTTGAAACGTAAAAAATTATTTCATGAACATTAAATTAATGCCAATGTGAACATGTGATCATCCAAGTCATTTCAAAGGCAGATCACTTTGTCATCTCTTTATGGCAATGGGCTGAGAGGTAAAATATATTCCAGAAGGAATTTTTAAAAATTATAGTTTTAAGCTTTCATGCCCTGGCAAAACTTATGGAACAGCAACAGAAACGACTGTGTACAAAACAAGCCATTCCCCAAATAGTCTTCTGTGCTATTTACGCACTCTGTAAAAGATGAAGTTGCTGACTATGATAAAGATGATTTGGTTTGTTCCTAAAGAACAGGTTCTTTTCCGACAATCTTTTCTCCGACTCTTTGTATGGGATATTACATCCTATAAATAGCCCCCTTAAACACTTTCATACAAAACTCATCGCCAGCAGTGTTAAAGACTTTTCATATCTCAAAGAGAGGAACTACCCATTCTTAAAAACCTTCTGTTGCTTCCACCCTCGCCATGCGCTTTTATTTACCAATTCTTGCAGAAGATGACTTATTTCATGCAAATCGAGCCCTCCTATTGTCTTTTCAACAACAGTCTACAAAGAAGAATGACATGGTCTCTGACTTCCCTTATCTTTGTGAAGTATACTATACACAATATTTCCCAGGGGAATCCTAACAATCTGATAAGCTCACATCACAATGCTATAGGCCATGAATCATGAGGCAGACTGTTGGGCCATTATTGGCATTCCCAAAGCACAATTCACATCAATTAAGCGATACATATAGCATTAGCCATGAGATTGCATAAAACTGATTCAAACAATTCAGTCCAAAACCGAAACATTCTTTTGGGGAAAAAAAAATCCAGATTTTTGTGAGTCCTGTAAATAACGACACAATATAGATCAATAAGGAGGCAGGTCACGTAGACCCTGTCTGTCTGTCCGGGCCAGTCTGAAGTAAGTGAGATACTGCCTCCCATCAGAAACGCAATGACATTTGATCCAATAATTTTCCTAAATAGAAATTAAACTCACGTCTTTCGAAAGAAAGTCGAAGTACTTGACCATTACAATAAAGACACTTTAAGAAAAAAACACTTTCAGAGCAGGTAGTACAGTATCTATAGACTAGCATCTCGCTCCAGGTGGTCTTACTGATGGCGAATACACACATGCATGCTTCACATCCACACATGAACCCACACATGGCGGCTTTCCCCAGCCAGATGATTACACATAACCTCAAAGCACTGGCAGTCTCGTGCTGGCAGTCTGGTAGTCATTAGGACACAAGTCCCTTTTAGCACCTTCTGTGAGATGATATAAACTCTACCTACCCTACGTCATGGACGAAAAATAATGAAACAACTGCCTTTGGTCCAATTGCAGTTGTTTGCATTTTCCTTGAAATGGTAAAAATGAATTTTGCTGTAGAAAATCATAAACCTGGAGCGTGCATGGTTTACACTAAGAAACCTCCATAGTAATCCAGACCACCAGGTATAACCTTTAAAAACCTTTTCTTGAACTGCGAGAACTCAAAAACAACCAAGCAGCCTTTCTTGAAAAACGAGCTCTCATTAAGAAAGATGAGGGATCTGTCCTTTGATTTCGAGTTTGATTCTTTGATGAGGGGGCCGTTATTGGTTGCATTCCATGGGCTAGACTTCCGAGGAGGAACTGTCATGCTTATGAATGTAACAGCGTTGTTTAGCCCTGAAGTTGCTTCCCGCTCTGTTGTTACAGCAATATACAAGCAACCTTTCCTGCCCTTCACGGTCCCTGATAACGTCAGCAACAACTTTCAAGGACAGGCGTGCGGAGCTAAAAGCGGAGACCACCACCACTGCCACTCGCACCGTTACCCAGGTCACTGTCCCCTTTGTTCTCTCCCTTCAGCAGTTCCACCAGAAGGCCGCACGTAGCCATCGTCTCGGGCAGCGACTTGAGCAGGATGTCTTTGCTCATGAAGCTGATGCGTGAGAGCTCCGGGAGTCGGAGCAAGAGCTCACCGAACTTGTGTGTGAGGTTCTGGTAGTGTGAGTTGGTGTAAGTGTACAGGGCCTCCTGTAGTTTCTCCTGGAACTCCCGGATTTTGCGCGGTTCCTTCAGACCTTTCACATCTGCGGATAGAAAGAATATTAACCACCACTGCAGTGTATGTTATGCGCATGGCACAAGCCTTTGGGAAGAACAATGAAAATGACAATATTTATTCATCTCTGGGTCATTTAGAACAGCAGTGGTGTTCCCACGTTCAAGTGCACTCACACATACGCAAAACAACACATTTGATTCAAACAAACTTATTTGACCTGTGAATAGTAAGACAAAAAAATGACCATCAACCCCACATATTTGTATCCTCCCTAGATTTTGGAAAGAAATCAAGTCCTCTGACACAAAACAGTATTCTTTTGTGTTTAACAAAAAGTCAGAACCATTTGCCTTTTAAAAATTTCAGTTCACGCTTATCTTTCACATTGACTTTTTTTTTCATACATATTCCTTGAATTTTTCCAGAACATTGAAGTTCACTCTGGAAGGAAAACTCCAAACACAACATGAAGTCTAAACTTAATGAGGTCCAAGCTCATACCTTTTAATCGAGTAAAGCTATCAATGACTAAAACAACAATCAAACCCTTATGCAGTGTTATTTTTTGTATTCATAAGAGTTAAACTCTTCCTGATGTGAATACACCTGAAATTGTCCAAGACATTGGCCCCCCTTGTTGAATAGAAAAGCAGTTGTCTTATACAGGTGGATGTCTTGGACAGTGTCATTATAATGTAGGAAAAAAAGCAAGGGGAGAAGTAGTTAGTTGTTGTTTATACACTTGATTGTCTTGGACAAGTAGCCTTTACGCTACCTCAGAATTACAAAGTTCTGTCACACATTTTTGGCCATTTTGGGTTGGGTTACTAAGGCCATGAGGTAAGAAAGCAAATGCTCTACCGAATCTATCAAAATTGTAATAATATTCAGAGTCGTTATCAAGATATCCAAAGAATTGCATTCGAAAAAGCTTGACATATTGTGAAACCTAAAAATTTTGACGTAAAATTTATCAAAACTAAGCGTTGAGCAGATAAAAATTTGTAATTCTGAGGTAGCAATTAAGAGCAGCTTCAAGAATCCTCCCCCCCCCCCACACACACACACTATTGTTGCATACCTGGAGAGATGAGAAGGAGGACCTTGAGGGCCACATACTCAAACTGGTCCAGGTACAACTTGCGGAAGCTGTCGGTGATGCTGAGCAGACGCAGGACCACCTCCTCAAAGCCCAGGTGCTGCGCCCACTCGGCCGTGATGTGGTGGGTAGAGGAGATGCTGATCTGGCCCGGCGTGTCGATCGAGCGCCAGCACAGGCTCAGGGCGATCAGCTCCGACCAGCAGTTCTGGAGCAGCAGGATTTGGTCGTCGGTCTGAGCAAGAGAGGAACGATTTTCACAGTATAGACATTTTCCTGGTTTGGTTTGTTTGAGTAAAGAGAAGCACATCGACACAATAATGGTCATTTAGTGCTGGGAAACAGACAGACAGGCAGACAGACAGACAACAGACAGACAGACAGACAGACAGACAGACAGACAGACAGACAGACAGACAGACAGATAGACAGAAACAGCAGAGGAAAAGTAAAGAAGTAGGACCTGCCAGTTGCGCCCTCCAACCACCCGCCATTTTCCTGTTGCCTGAGACTCTACAAACAAAGAAAAGAATGTCCCTGAATATTTTTTTTATTTTAAAGTTTCATGGTTAAGAGAATTTTATGTAGCCTGAGACTATGATAAAAAAGAAAAGAATTCCCTCCTGAATATTACAGAAGTTTCACAGCTTAGACAATTGTGTGTCTACAGAAAAGGAAAAAAACAGACAGAAAAAGACTCCTCTACAAACTCTTTTCAGAGATTTGCTTCTTGGCTACGTTTTCAAAGGCAGATTGATCAAAGAAAACAACATTGTTGATAAAAAGAAATAAAAAAACAAGACAATAGTTAACAAGAATGCAAGTAACTTAAACAGCTTCCCACCCTAAATTCATACAGATCATCTGGAACTGTTGCAAGCTCTTAACTATGACAACCTTTCACAGAAACAAACTACCCAAACCCCTCCACTGCTCAGCTAGACACAATCCTGGACTATCACGCAGTTTCATATCTACCTAAGAATAACAAAGTTCTGACATTTTTGGTCATTTGAGAGTTAATAAGACCATAAAGTCAGACAATAAATGCTCTGTCTGCTCCATCAAAATAGTAAAATTATTCAGAATCATTATCAAGACATTAAAAAAAGCTTGACTTACTGTGAAACTCAAAAATTTTGACGTCAAATTTCTCAAAACTGGGTCCTGAGCTGACAGAACTTTGTCATTCTGAGGTAGTGATATGGCAGGTGCTCCAGTAACTCCAGTTAAGAGATTCAACAATCAATCATGACCCCCCCCCCCCCACACACACACACACACACTCACGGAGATGGCCCCAAACTGCGGCAAGTTGCGAGCCCAGCGCACCAGTTTGTAGAGCCGGAGCTCAGCCAGCTGCATCATGTAAGAGTAGAGGGCTTGCTCGGGGAACGGGCCCTCCATGATGGAGTCGGTGGGAATATCGTCGTCGCTCAGCAGCGGTTCCAGATTCATGATGTCTCGCAGCAACTCTGGGATTTGTGGTGTACCGGGGCTAGGGGTCTGGAAAAGGTAGTATAATTTTTTTTTAATCTCTTCAAGAGGAAACATGCATGTTTAATGAATGCCCTTATCACCAATGTAAGACTATTTCAGGGATATGATCTCCAAAACGTATTTCCATCTCTGTTTGTTTGAGTAAACAAAAGTACATCGGCACAATAATAGTCATTTAGTGCTGGGAAAAAGTAAGACAGACAGACAGAAACAACAGAGGGAAAGTAAAGAAATAGGACCAACCAGTGGCACCCTCCAACCACCCACTTTCCACCTCTGATAGGGTGGAGCTAGGAGAGGGTGGAAAGCCTTGAAATCTTTTCTTAAAACACAAGCTCAAGATTGCCCTGGTGGGTCAATGTCACAGTCTAACTGAGCTGTCCAAACACCTCTATACCGTCCAGAGAGTACGGAAAAGCTTAACCACTTTGTAATGCTCACATAACATTGGTACTATGCAATAATAATAATAACAAAAATAATAATAACCATAACAATAATAATAATGATAATAATAATTTTTTACAGCCCCTTCTCCCGTGTTCACAGTTTTAGGTGCTTTACATATAAACCCAAGTACCAAACAGAATAACTGTGAAAAAAATAATAATATCTGCTCATACGACAATACGAAAAGGGGAAGTAAGTAAGTAGTAAAGGAAAGACAGAGGATTGGAAATGAAATACAAAGAGCAAATCACGGGCGCCTTCCACATGCCCACTTAGAACAGTATCAATCGTGCAGCCACGGCCACAGAGTTCCTTGTTTTGTGTGGATCTGGAACATGTGTCTCATACCTCTGTTCCCTCATACTTACTCTTACTTTACTTTTCCGATCCAGCGATCATCCAAGTTCTAGCCCTTCGGCCTGGTTTTTTTTTTGTTTTTTTTACTCATAATGGTTACCTATGAACTAAAAATAACCTCCATAGGCATAAGTTTTCCTATCAATTTTATCTGTGTAGAGCTAGAAACTCCACAAATAAAAGCCATCAAATAAAGTGAGTGAATACTCTTTCCAACCTTTGTGAGAGGCAAAACCACATAGAGAGTGTGGAAAGAGGAGACACCTGACCCATGACTTGAATGAAATCAGGAATGACAGACAGGACTAACCTTGCTACTTATAACTCAGAACTCAGTCTTCATTCAAAATCACATGATACCATCATAAAGCGTACCTGTTTATGTGCGTTGTGGTTGAGGATGGCAACAAGGTTCCGATGTGACTTTGTGCCATCATCGATGTCCTGCGACGACCCAGCACCATCACCCGAGCCCGAAATTCGCTTTAACTTCTTCTCCAAAGGCGTCATGCGATTTTTCAAATGGGACCCACATCCTTCATAGGAGCTCCTCCCACCCCTTGTTCTGTCCTGGCGAATGGCTGTAAGGAAAGATTTATATATTTTTTTAATTGATCCTACATTTTTGTTAAAAGTGATCAATCAAAGTCATCATTGCTTAAGTCTGCATTTTCCAGTTAACAATGACTTGTCCATTGAACAAGGCAGTTTACCTTGGTTCTTTGTTGTTAGATTAATTTTGTGAAATACGATGCTGTGGAAAAGAGTCTTTTTTTTTTTTTTTTGGGGGGGGGGGTGTTGTAGGCCTATTATTTCTCTGATTGCTCTTAGCTTTGGGAAAAATTATTTGTTTGGCTTTTTGACAGTAACTGTAGCTTTTTCATGCCTTCATTGACACAATATACATCAATTTAAGAGGCCAGCTGCTTTGGACCTGCCTGACAGGGCCAACCGGTGCTGAGAGGGATACAACGTCCCATAGAAAGAAGGAACTACTGGATGAAAACCTCCGCACACATGTAAAAATAGTGAAATGGTATAGGTTTAACGCCCATATCAACACTATTAGGTTATTTAAGAGGCGGGCCATCCTAGTTTAATGTCCATCTCCAAAAGGATCGAGCCAAATGGGAAATTCATGGAAAGTGCCTTTCCCAAGTACACAACCTTAGAACAAGCTGAGGCTTGAACCCCTGAACCCGAAACCTCATGATTAGGGGTCTGACAGCCTAACCACTTGGCCACCAACACCACCTTCCACACACCTGACGTGACTTGAACTGACATCTTTACTATCGATTATGAAGCACCTAACCATTATACCACAGAAAACAGTTGCCATGAGTAGCTATAACATAATAGTTGATTCGGCTAGTGACCGATCCGCCGATTAAAGAACCATGTGAACTGTTACACCACTCTACCTATTCATCCACTGTTTCAAATTTATGTAAATTTACTTTTAGTCCATCAAGTTTATTTATTTCATTCTTCTTGCTTTGATTAATTAATGGTAAAGAAAATAGACAGACCAAGACATGGTAAGAAAGTAGGGCTTCGGAATATTCTATGAACCATCACCCAAACCAAAAAAACAGACAGCTTTAAGAAGTTAAAAAGCTCCCAAACAACACTAGTTTTTAAAAAACTCCCCTCCTTGGATATTTGAACCAAGGTCATCTGTTTCATAGTTCGACATGATACAAAGTGCACTAACAGCCTGCTAAAATCTGAAGGCAATATAAACTCATAAAAGTAAGAAACATAAACAAAGAACTGTCAAAAGGTCAAACAAAGCATTTTTTTCCAAAGCTAACATCAGCAATCAGAGAAATAAAGGCCTATAAAAAAAACAAAAGAACAAAAAATCTTTTCCATAACATCGTATTTCACAAAATTAATCTAACAACAAAGAACAAAGGTAAACTGCCTTGTTCACTGAAAGACAGATCATTATTCAGAGGAAAATACAGACTTGGCTAGTACGGATATATATATCAAAATAATCGTAACATAATCAAGCTGCAAGGACACATCTCTGAGCATGTGCAAATGCATATATATATATACTTTACACGCTCTGAAAAAAATATCCTTCGACAAGACTCACTGTAAAACATCTACCTTAGAGACAAAGCAGAATCAACAGAAGCCGACATTGTTTATCTTCCTGTGCCTTCAGGAGGGATAACTCAATATCTTTCTCCCCTCTTGTACACAAACTTTTATCTCCAGCATGCACAGGGCACCTACTGCGGAGAACGTAAACTGTTTACATAACTTCCTTGAGCTCCCTCCCTCCTCCCCCCCCCCCTCAAATCCACAAAAAGTTTTCAGAGATTCTGAGGCCACATGCATATATAAACCTGATGATGATGCCCCCAATTTCTAAAACAAATGACATCAAATCACTTTAAATACTCTTCCTCTTGCGCTAGACTTACCCAACCTTGTGAGAAACAGCAAAAATCTGTCTCGAGTTGGATTTTTAGCAGGTAGTTTAGAACGAGTAAGCATGACAGTAATACATCTTTACAGCTAGCTTTAATTTCAGGATAACAGTGACACTGAAAAATTAAAGAAACAAACCATACCAGAGCATCCACCAATCACCAGTTAAAAAACTAGCTTTTTTTGCTTGAGAAAATTCTATAATGACTACAGATAACATCTCTCTAGGCGAAATTTTTGGCAACCAGTTTCTATTCTAGTGAAATGGAAGCTATCCTGTGAACCCTGTAGTCTACACAGTTCCTGTACCCGAGTTGAGACATGTACCGTGTTGAATCTTGAAGGCCAACAGCAGCGTGTTCCCAAAATAACATGTTGTGATCATGCCAAGGTAGTCTAGTCAGTCTACCTCAGACACTGTTTGGTTTAATTCTAAACGCATCAATTTCAAAAGAAAATTTTCACAAGAATCTGGAATACTTTTTTATTTTTGACACATTATATAACAAAGAAATTCCGAGAACATATTCAACAATTTGAGAGTGTACATCTGGAGTGTCACTATAATGATGAAAAAAACAAAACCTCAGCAATCTGCCCCTGAGGCACGTTTTTTATTTGAACATTGTTAAAATTAATCCCTCTCTCTTTGGTATAAATCTTGCTTTTAAAGGAAACGTTTGCCAGGCCATAAAATTCAAACAGACCATTACAAACAAGCTGACAACATCCCACACATATATATAGTTCAGCTATTACTTGAAGATGAAGACAGGGAACTTACCTTCAAGTTTCATTCCCATGATAAGGCACCTTTTAAACCGGCAAGCAGGGCATTTTTTGCGGTTGAGGGAGTTAATGTCACAGTCGGAGGACTTTGGGCATACGAATGTCTTTTTGTTCTGTACAGTTCTCTTGAAGAAACCTTTGCAACTTTCACAGGTGAAAATTCCATAGTGGTAACCTGCAAAAATCCATAGTCATGGATCACTCTTGGGGTTAAGAATGATACTAGTGACAAAGGCCATATTTTACCTAAGTTTCAGTAAGAGTTTTACGGCACTTGCAACACAACAAGGTCATATAAGTGCCGAAGATTAGAGGTGTTACAATAGAGTAACAAACAGAAAAAAGGAGGGGAGATTAAGACGATAGATGTTCGATAGGAAAGAAGAAGCAAACCACACCAGGGCACCAGCCAACCACCCACATATTTTACCTAGAATTGTATAGGAAATAATAATAATAATAAATAATAAATAGCATTTGTATAGCGCATATCCCCGCTCATCAGCAGGCTCTATGCCCTTTACACTATATTATTACCCCAGCAGACCATAGAACACTCCGAAACATTCTCAGCTTCCCGGGACGCATACAGCGCAAGCAGCTGATTAAGCGCTCAAACACTAACAAACTGATAAGATCTTTCGCTGTCTATAGCCGGGTACCCATTCGCACCTGGGTGAAGTGAGAATAATTCATGTAAAGTGCCTTTCCCAAGGACACAATGTCGGGCCCCAGACGGGATTCGAACCCACGACCTTACGGTTGCGAGTCCGAGAGCCTAACACTAGGCCACCGACGCCACAATAAGATGAAAGAACACAGTGCTCCAGAGCACCCATCAACACCATCCCTGAGAGACTGAGACAGAGTTCAATAGGAACTAAAACACGGAACAACTTCATATGGTAAAAAAACAATAATAGAGGAATTTTATGCAGAAAGAATTAATTAATTTTATAAAAATTTTAGAGAGCTATAGCCAGAAGCACTGGAAAAGTGAGGAATGAGAGAGGTTGGGAAAATAAATGCAAAAAAGAATCAGTGAAACAGGTCAGGAGGGCAAAAGAAAATTCATAAATTAAAGAAGAAAAAGAGAACAAGATGCAACTCAAGTAAAATGGACTTGATTAAGATTAAGACTAATTTACAGAACCTCACCTTGTGTTTCTGTTTTTCTCACTATTGCTCAGAGTGTAAAATGGGACAACAGAAGGATTCAAATGAAAAGGGAAACAAACAAAAAAATAAAAAACAATTATGTGAAAAAAAAATATCAAAGAAGCAAAAAAAAAGATGAGCATGTGACTGAAATAACCCTAAGACAGGCATTTCAAATTGTGCTGATGATCAGGAGATGCTGAATTATTTCACACATAATACCCGAATATTTTCACAATCTGGCTTAATTTTGTGTGAGGAAAGAAAGTAATTTTTTAAAGTTCTGATTGCCTAGGGCTGAGCACTGATCATGAAACATTATATCAACTGCTCAATGTAAGACTGTCATACCTTACTTTTCAAAACAGTGCTGTAGCAAAGTCTTACACTTCTAAGCAGTTGATATAAATTTTGTCCAACAAACCATTTGCTCGCCATTTCTGATGATGTCTGCTTTAATCACACTACTATTTAAAAAATGGACACACGAATATATAATATATATATGACCCAGAGAGAAGGAGGGAGGGGGAGAGGGAGGGAGAGGGGTTAGGAAGGGAGAGGGAAGGGGGGAGGTAAAGAGACAGAAATCTTTGATTTCACTATTTTGACAAGTGCCTGATTTCACCACAATACCTCTCTCATATTGTTAGGATTTAAACTGTGCGGAGGCAAACTAAACAACAATTTATAAATTAACTGTGAGATTTTTAAAAAAGAAGAAGGTGATGGATTGGACACACAATCAGGAGGCCAGCCCATAACGTGACAAGACAAAGCCTTAGATGGAATCCTTAAGGAAGAGATAGAGAGAGAGGCCGAGATCCAACTATGAGTGAGATCAACAAACATATACAGTAGTCTCCGCCTAAGATCCCGCCGCTTACGATCCCGGTTCGCTTAAGATCCCGTTGTTTAAGAAAACAGAATTTTTACTATACAAAAGTCACCCCTAAGATCCCGCTCTGATGGTCTACATTCGGCTAAGATCCCGCATTTCAGATCATAATTTGCTAAACAAAACCCCGGGCGGGCACAGCCGATCAACCTAGAGTGAAAAGTTGAGATCAATAAACTGTCCGTCGCGTCAAAGATCAACCACTATCGTGAATGTGATCACATACACGTTGTAAAACTCGATGAAGCGATACAATGTTTGCCCCAGACGGGATCACACCGGGGTGTGAACTGACCGACACGTTTGTTTTCCCCACGCATTGCACTCACACCTGAGCTCGCCACCTAAACTTACATCACTCGCTGGGTGGGTAGGGCCTACACGTTCGCTCCAGGCAGGATCACATCGAACCGTGAACTCTTCCTTGACCATTGCAGCAGTAGTTGTCTCTACTCCCGAATTTTCGAGACAGACTGAATTTTAATTGGTGGGTTCACAACGTAATGGTGTGTAACGACAAAGGTGGTTTGGAAGGGGAGGGGGGAACTCGGTCAGAGATGGAAAGCTATAAATTTTTGACAGGTATAGAGGAGGGGCAACTGGATAAGCGTAGATCTTGAGACTCATGATAGGATAATAAGTGAAAATGGCATGCCTCATCCCACTATGCACCGTGATAGGTCATCAAGGTTAACCACTCTTTGCTCGCCATACGTCATAAACCCACCAAGCGGTCACGTCAGTTCATTGTAGAGTGGAGGGAGACCATTTTACCGATTGTGAGCCTTAACATGGGTCACCATAGATTCTTCCCTGGGTTCATCGGTTAAGATCCCGGTTCGCCTAAGATCCCGCATTTCCTTGCTCCAAAGCACCGGGATCTTAGGCGGAGACTACTGTATTGCAAGCATGTGACACAGCTGGCTGGAGACAAATAAGACCGCCTAGAACAGAGACAGGTGGAAAGCTCATCTTGGTGGCCTATTCCCAACACAAAAATAAGAGAAGTAAATGATGATGATGATGGTTTAAATGATGTTTTACCTGAGACTTTGTCCCCACACACTGGGCATGGCTGACTCATTCCTTCCTGCGTATTTTGAGCATCTGTAACTGGTGTGATTGATGAGCCTGACGAGTGTGCTATGGTCACATTGGGAGGAAAGATAGTCTGTTTACTCTCCACAGCATTTTCGTCAGAAGGGTGCAAGAGGACTCTGTATGTCCTTTGTAAGTCCGCAGCGTTAACTTCAGAATCAGGCACAACAATGTCATTCCCACTGGAAGAAGGCACTGGCAGGTTAATATCTCCACGTCCGTTATTATTGTTGATGTAACTGTAGATGATGATTTGTGGCTGAGAGCGGTTTTGGTCTGACAATGAAACGGCTGAAGTGGCCTCAGCAACTGTGGTGGCGCCCATCGACTCGAGACTCTGCTCAAGATGGGAGGCTGGGGACAAAGTCTCCTGAAGAGCTTGCTGCTTATTGGTCTTCTGAATCATGGACTGCTGAATGTGTTGCGAGGCAAGAGCCGTCAACATGCTGCTCACATCCGTGTTCATGCCCTGCGAACTTGGCGGGGGCGCTGCCTGCGGGACGTCGGAATCATCGGACGGTTCTTCTTTCAGCAAGAAGTTGCTGATTTCTTCACTGGAAATGACCATGTTTGAATGGTGCATAGTCTGCAGATCTTTGTTGGAGTGAACACTTGTGAGAGAACTACTCCCACTGGTGGAGAAGCCCTCGTTGTCAGACAGGCCCAGCATTGACAAGCCCGCCTGCGTGATAATAGAATGACTAGGATCTGACGACGTCTGGTGCAAACTTGAAGCCGCACTTTGTAAAGTGGTGTTGTCTTTTTGCACTGACATGAGCGAAGCTATTGGCTCATTCAAATTTTGAAGAAGTTGAGTGACAATGCCACTGGCAGAATTGGGATCCTTTGTGCTGTTGTCCATCTTTGACTTGCTCAAAAGTTCTTCCCTGCTTACAGAAGGAGAATCCTTACCCTTCCCAGAATCTCTGGCCCCTGTTAACGCAGATGATGTAAGGGTCTGGGCAATAGCTTGCAGAAGAACCGGGGAAATCCCCAGTTCACTCCTCCCTGACATTGCTGAGGAAAAATAATTAATTAAATATAAATGATTATATATTTCAAGGAGACTAAAACCACTAAAATAGATGGCTAAAATACAAATTCTGAAACGAGTGTTCTGTGAGCGAGAGAAAGTATGGCATGTTACTTTTCACTTTGCAAATGATTATAAATCAATTTTCCTTTCTTGAGCTGTCTCATGAGGACACTTTTATGAGAATTCTAGAACTTGATATTTTTATATCAACATGTAAAAGCCATAAAAAATAAGACAGCATGGGGATAAAGCTTAAGGGAAAAGTTTCATGATCAATACAAGACATTGTAAAAGAGAAAGAAAGAATAGTAAAGTTGACATGGTTGAGCCTTACACAACACTTTAAATATTTAGGGAAATTGCCACAAAATCCCCTTATTTTCTCTCTATTCATTTGTTCATCTGCTTTACTATATAATGCATGAAAGAATAGATCAATACAAAATAGCTACGACAAACATGATAAAAAAAATCAAATTGTTTAAATTCAAAAGAGAGTGGAGACCACCATCACAGCTCTTTTACACACAAGCTCAGCAAACTGTACTTTGTCTATCCTGACATACTATAATAAATTAATTACATACCTAGACTCATGCCTAATTCTACAAGTTAACTTTTTGAACATATTTTTTTAATGATAATGAGCTTAACTAACAACATTCTTATTTTGCTAATCAAAAGCACGAGCACTGTTGGTCATGAATGAAGCCACAGAATCTACTGCCCACTCTAGAAAATTTGTTATTTTTCTCTTCTTTTTAATCGAATAGAACAATATTGAAAGTTAAATTAATATTTGAGACATCATGGTGAAATCAGGCACTCTACAAAATAATGAAATCGAAGAAAACGCCATTTTTTATTCGGCTCAACACTTTATGCTATGTGGCTTTTACTGAACAAAGGCACAAAAAACTTAAATTTAGTTTCGGTATTTTTTTACTTTCACTCCTGTCTCACACTTAGCTACCCGTTATACATTTTCTACTTAATATTGATACGCTGAACACGAATATCAACTTCATTTCCGTTGCAAATCAATACTTTTTGAGATATTTATGTTTTTAGATTGTTTTTTACGCTTTCCGAAAGTAGGTTACGCGTATGCAAATGAGTGTCACGCACATGCGTATTTTGAGCCCCACAGGCGTATACGCGTGCGCAGAGGCTCACTGGCACGGCAAAATATTGATTTTTGTCCGCGCATGCGCATATTGCGTTCTGTGAATTTTAAATGGCCTAAATTCTGGGATGTTCTGTCCACTTAATTGGTTACGTCTGGTTACGTCTCTGGTAAGTCTCGTGATGGTCATCATGTGCAACCCCGTGACCATGCAGAAGCATTGTTTCACGCGGGTAGTGTTCATTTGTGTCGTTGTATTGGTGAGTGAAAGATCGTCGCGTGGGGAATTCCGTAGATCTTGTGTTTTGTTCATGGATTCCGCAAACAGTGACTGTGACAGTATTTGTTCATCTTGCTCACTGGACTATTTCACCGCAATTGCCAAGTTTCACGGGAAGGACGAGGAGAGTGTAGCTTTTCTCCGTGATCACAGTGTTCTGCCAAAAAGTGTTGTTTGTGAAAAGTGTGGGGGACAGTGTACTTTCCGAGAAGCTGATCATCTGTGGCTGTGCCGTTCCAGTTATCTCATTCCAAAAACTAAGAAACGGAGGTATTGTGATTTCTCTGTGTCGGACTACAAGGGAACTTTTTTGGCAGGGTGCTCGATATCGCCGTGGAAAATCGTTCTATTTGTAAATCATTTTTTAAGCCGGCACTGGGGCCACAGCACAGTTGTAGAGTGCTTAGGTTTATCAACGAAAACATCTGTCGACTGGCGCTCCTTTTTTTCCCAAGGTCACAGACGAGTGGTTCAGTAAGCAGGAGGCGATTGGTGGGCCGGGTGTCCAGGTTGAGATCGACGAGACCTTGATCGTACGCAGAGAAAGTACGAGAAAGGCCGAGTTTTAAAACAAATCTGGTTGTTTGGTGGAGTGGAGAGGGTCTCAAAGCGGAGATTTGTTGTGGCTCTAACTGGTGAAGGGGAGAGACACAACAAGGACACGCTTTGGCCTCTGATTCAACGGTATATTCTGCCTGGGTCTGTAATTTACAGAGACTCGTGGAAAGCCTACCACGGCCTTGCGGAATTGGGCTATACACACCACATGATAAACCACTCTGAGAGCTTCGTGGACTTTGAAGACTCCAGCATCCACACACAGAATATCGAGCGGCTGTGGCGAGATATTAAAGAGTGGGTGAAAAGACCAGGTATCAGGTCTAAATACTTGTATCAGAACCTAGCCCGGTATTTATTTGTGAAATCGGTCCCCAAGCCGGAGGCGCTCCACTTCTTCCTAAAGCAAGCCGCTCGGCTGTATCCGCCACACTCCAGTCGCGAACGTGATTGCGTCGCTAGCAGTTCCGGTGAAAGTGAGGATTCATCGCTGGAGGACGAACCAGGCCATTAACTGTAAGTTTTGGAAAAATCTGGGGGATTTCAGGCCCCCTGCAGTCCACCATAATGTTACGTGATTTTAACATCCAAATATCTTGCAAAGTATTCATTTGCGACGCATTTCGTTGTTATTTTCATGTTCAGCAGCTAAAAGTACGTTAGTTAGACCCTTAAAAATAGTGCATTTCCGTGCGGGAGGGGTTGTAAAATTTTACCAGTTTCTAAAGACTCTTAAAAAGCTTTGGAAGTCGCCAAACTTTAGCGGTTATTTTCTCTCAAATTTTACTTCCGAAACCAAGTGACCCCACTTGCTTCAATTCAAAATACAGCCTTAACGGAAACCTGTATAAAACGGAAACCTGTCTTAACGGAATCTCCCCGCTCCCCCCTTGATATATTCCTCTTTATTTACCTGTATAAAACGGAAACCTGTCCAACGCAGAAACGGAAAGAAAAATACATAGATATCTATATATATATATATATATATATATATACTAATCTACATGATTGACCATTTGAAGTAGGCCTATTTCTAACAGGCTAATAAAAGATTAAAAAGGGGATACATCTAGATCTAGATATTTAGATCTAAATCAAGATTCTAAATCTAGATAAATCGGCGCTTTTTCGGTAGTTCCCACCCCGCAATTGTTATTCATTCACGGGTTTGGGCCACAAGAGTAGGGGGGTTTCAGGGGGGGCTTGCCCCCCTGACCTAATAAAAATAGGAAGGGGGTTTTCAGGGGGGCATGCCCCCCTGAATTTTACCATAATTTAATGTTTTGCAGTTGTTAGGTTTGATATCTTAGCTCACCGTGAATCAAACGTATAGATCTAGATCTAGATCTAGATCTAGATGTAGAGTTTAGGTCAGGCTCAAATAAGGGGGTGGGAACTACCGAAAAAGCACTGATAAATCTAGATCTAGATTATCTATCTAGAGATCAAAGTCAAAACCAACAAAATTCTATTTCAAGTATTTCTGCTCGAAGGAGCTCGAATTAAATAATTAACCAAGTTTATTAATATAAAAGTAAAAAATTACTAGGCTAAGGCAATGCTAATTTTTAAGTTTTTCTTTTTTGAATAGAAGGCTTGTCTAGAACAGAATCATCAATCAAGATCTGAGATCTATCTAGATCTAGATCTAGATCTATAGCCCAGTTACGCCTAGAATCTAGTATAGCCTAGCAGTAGCCTAGTCAGTGACAGATGTTGTTGAACTTCTTGTTTCTTTGTTCTAAATCTGTAACACTTCTTAACCAGGTTTCTACCGACTTTTTCACCCTTTTCTTCGACTTACTCGTCATAGTATGCTGAGTGGGACGAGTAACTCTCTCAATGTGTAGTAATAACTTATAAAAGAAAACACGCCATTCGAAAGCTCGGGTGGAAGAGTGTGTACAACACAGTTGCTACATCGTTGGACTGGGTAGCTGGGTAGCCTACACAACAAAACGCCATGGCCAAAGTTCAAGGGTGGGGCTGCGGGCCAGTGTGAAGGACGCATCATTAGGGGAACCTCGAAAAGTGAGCATCACAAAATTAACTGGGGCAATACAAAACTCTCCCAAACAAGTTGAAGTTCAGGGAAATGAGCAAACTCCGCCAGGAGGGGAATGCAATATGTCGACATACAATCTCCGAAGCGGTACAATGTGCCCAATTATTACGAGGAATGAAGCTTCGATAAAACTTACTGGTCACTCCAAAGCAAAATCGTCTTCAGTGTGCCATCGAGGACAGGTAGATTCATGAACCGAAACATCAAAACACTTGGTGGGGTATTACGAGCACAGTTGGCCATGACCTTGCTCCCTTTCGGGCGTCCTTCACAGTAGCGGGTCCTTTCCTGATCCTTTGTGTGATTGCAAGTACCACCCTTCTCTGAGAGAGTCAGGATATGCTATTACAGCTATCCTGCAACAGAAATTGTACTTTACGATTACAATCAATTTGCAGCACACATCTATATGGCTGTCACGATATGATAAAGGAAACAACAAAATGGCCTCTAAACGTATGTTTGTGAAAGCTAGCGTGTGTCAATCCGCGAAGCAAACTTATGAGGCTCCACCAAGGATTATTATCCACTTTTTAAAAAATAATAAATAAAATACCTATGAAGCTTGTGACAAAAATTGATAAAGAAAGAGATTTTTAAACAAAATATGCTTAAAGCCTGGTTATTTTTACAAAGGCGAAGTGCATTGAAATGTAAATGTACTAGAACACCCCAATAGTTCCCTTCCTCATTCCTGATAGCTCTTGTCTTACCACTTCCGATTCAGAAAAATATGGGTCATTCATGTTGAGGCCACAGAATTCTCGTGAGGCCCAGGCAAGAATTCTGTGGTCTTGAGTTCCGGGTTTGAACGAGCGGTTGATTTGATTCTTCGCGCTCCTATGTCGTTTTCAATTAATTGTAATATAAATATTACAGGTTGTAGGCCTATGCTAATCCCACAAAAGTTTGAAAACTATCTTAAACTAATTAGTCTGTTTTACTATTACTACAGGTAATACTAGTGGCATTATAGTTATAGTGATAATAAACAGCGTTTGTATAGCGCATAAACAAATTCCCGCTAGACTCGGGTTTCCGTGAAGCATACAGTGCAAGCAGCCGATTATGTGCCCAAGCCAAGGCTTTCAAGGCCTAAGCATTAACAAACTGACCGGATAATGAACGGATTCGATTCAAGGGAGTTGAAAGTGGAGGTGGGAGGAGGGGGGGGGGTCGAGAAGTGAAAAAAATCGTTAAATGGTATGGGTTTAACGCCCCTATCAACACTATTAGGTTATTTAAGGGTTAAGGGGCGGGACCTCCTAGTTTAACGTCCGTTTCCGATAGGACCGAGCCAAGTGGAAAGTCCGTGTAAAGTGCCTTTCCCAAGGACACAACGTCGGACCGAGCTGAGGCTCGAACCCGCGAACCCGCAATCTCACGATTACGAGTCCGGTAGCCTAACCACTAGGCCACCGACGCCACAAATTAAAAAGTGCTCATAATATGAGTGAACCAATGAGTTAAAGGGTACCCGGGTAGGCTTTAATAGTTCGGATGAGGATTAAGAGACAGAGGGACAAAAAAGCTAAAACCCTTCCGTCAAAGGAGAAAGCTATGTATTGAAAAAAAAGTGGCAACACTTTAAGGGAGTATCCTCCTCCCCGTCCCTCTGTGGTAGGCCTGGGAGGTATAAGGGCTGACTTTGTACATGTACTTGTGTCTATTACATGAATTCTTGCTCAAAACATTTTGTGTAGGTTACTTTGTTTCGGGAAATGTTGGGG